GAAGCTACCAAAATTTTTAGCTGTACAGTATAAATGAGAAACTAAATTCTCCACTGCAAAACATATAGGCTCAAGGTTTTGACAATGAGACTCATTCATGCAGAAGAAGACACTTTCCAGGTGAATATTTCCTTCTTCTGGCGTCACACTCTGAGTAATGTAATTAAAGAGCATTTATGAAATGTTCGGGACTGTGCTGCCGGGAATCCTGAACAGAGGGGAAAGTGGGATTGTGTGTTTGTGGTGTCCCTGCATGAGCGAGGTGATTTGCAGGCCAAGTGAGAGGTGAAATTTTGATATTGCAAGCTTTTCCACGGCAGCGTTTAGGGTCTAAAGGCACGCACGCAGTCTCGTCTCACACAATGGTTACGCTGAGGTTAGAAAGGTTTTATTCCTGCTGGTCGGTGCTGCGCCGACAAAAGCACCTCCAGGTTCGAGCCCTGCCTCTAGGTGTCATTTAGAAAGGGAGCGAACGGGTTTTGGAAGGGAAGCGGGGCCCGAGCAGCTGCGGGCACCGGAGCAGCCGCGTCCCGGGCGCCTCCGCTGCCTCCGCCCGAGGGGACCCGGGGCTCCGCGCGTCGGTACCGCGGGAAAACTCCCCCGTCCCAGCCTTTTAACACAGTAGATCGGCTGAATTTCCATTGAGGCCAGAATATTTTATTTCCCGCAGTACATTTCGTTAACTGTCATCAGCGCCGCGGTGCGAGACAGACCCGCGCACGCCGCGTTTAACACCGACCCTACTTTTTCTCGGTTTGTTATGTGGAAAAATACTCCGCGATCTTAAAAACCAGTAGTACCTGGGAAAACAATATTTTTTAAAAAATTTAAAAAAGAAAAGAAAAAGAAAAAGAAAGGAATAAACTAGGAATACATGAAACGGCAGCATGGTGACTTTGCGGGGTGTGCCGAGGGAAGGAGAAATGCTGGGGGGACCGAGCGGGGACCGAGAGCGCCCGGCCCTGCCCGGCCCCCGGAGCCCCGCGCCGGATCCGTTCCTCGGGGGAACGGGACTCGGAACGGGAGCGCCTGGGGCCGCATTTACATCCGTGTCCGTGCGGCTGCTTCGTGAACCCAATGAGTGCGGACAATGTCGGGACGGCCCCAGAGCGCTGCGGACACCCCGAAGGGGCTGAGGAGGCACCGGCCGCGTGTCCCTCCCCGGGAGCCGGGGCGCGGCGGGGCAGCGGAACGGAGCAAGAGCCGCGGGGCTGACACCGGGGCTGTGTCGCCTGTCCCCGTGCGGGTCTCGGTGCGGGAGGCGAGAGCCCTGCCCCGGTGCCTGCAGGGGCTGCGCTGGCCGAAAGGGAGCGGGGCTCTCCGAGCCAGGGGCGGACCGGCTCTCCGTTTTCTCGCCAAGAGAAAAGTTAAAAAAAAAAAACCAAACAACTTAGGGAGAGGAAGGCTGCCGCATTTTCTAACAAACCGACCCCAGACCTTCCAGGTTCTGCTGCTTGCAGAGGGTGAGTATAAAAGAAAACCCAAACCCAAACTCTGCTACTCGAGTCTTATCAGCGCTTCAGCTGAAGGTACGGCTTTCGTGGGAATGCTCGTCCGGGCTGCCGGGGCCAGAAGTGGGGGTGGCACCGTGTCCCGTGTCCCGTGTCCCCGCGGCAGATCCCCCGCTCGCCGTGCCCCGCTCCGCTCCGCGCTCCCACCGCGAACGGGCTCAGCGCTGCGCAGCGGGGAAACCGCACCGGGGCCGCGGCGGGGCTCCCGTGCTCTGTTCGGGAAGGGGAACCCGCTCCGGCTCGGTAGCGGCGAAGCCCCGGTTTGCAGCATCTCTCGGGTCTGCCCGCCTCCCTCCCGGCTTCCCTGCACCGGGGCCGGGCAGTGTCCGGGGCTGTTCTGCCCCCGTGTGCAGAAAGCGAGAGCCCCTTCTCCGCCGCAGCAGGCCGGGGAAGAGACACGGCACCGTGAGCCCCCTCCGCTGCTAATTCCCCTCCCGTATCCCCTACCCCGGCGAGCGGCTGCGGGACCGGCCCGGGAGCGGCTCCGCCGGCTCCTTCTGTCCCGCCTTGTCCGGCTTTGTCCGTCCGCTGCCCGGCCCGGGAGCGGCTCCGCCGGCTCCTTCTGTCCCGCCTTGTCCGGCTTTGTCCGTCCGCTGCCCGGCCCGGGAGCGGCTCCGCCGGCTCCTTCTGTCCCGCCTTGTCCGGCTTTGTCCGTCCGCTGCCCGGCCCCGGGAGCGGCGGCGGGCGGGGCGCGGCCTCTCCCGGGGGCACCGGCGGACCGGGCCGCTCCCCGGGGCCGTGCCGGGCTTCCCGCTCCTTCTCCCGAAAGGGCTCTCGGCGCTCCTCTGCTCTCTGCCCGTCCCCGTTATTGCATTGCCCTCGCTGCGGCTTTTCTGTGGGTGCCGATAAGCCCTCGGCTCTCCGCTTAACCGCAGCTACAGCGTTCAGCTGTCAGGGGCGTGTTCCTGCGTTTTCAGGTAGTTGTTTCATGTCCCAAAAAGGGCTTAATTAAGAGAGGGGAGAGGGGAGAGCCCGACAGCCCCTGCCTGCCCTTGTGTCAAGCGTTCAAGTAGCCGCACACGGGGCTGCGCGCTCACCTTTGCTGCTCGGCCCGACCGCCGCTCCCAGCGCTGGGCTGAGCTTCTGCCCTGGTGTTCATCCGAAATCCCCCTTGATGGAGCTGTCAAAAAAAAAAAAAAAACCCAAACAAGACCCTCGGATGTCAAATGTCCTTTGCGAGCGAGCGAGCGAGCCCTGCCAAGGAGCTGCGCGCCCGGCTCAGGAGCGAGAAGGGAGGAATGTGCCATTTGGCGGAGGTGATGACACACGCGGCCGTGCTGCTACACCTGCACCGGCCCTGGCCGCGGAAATGCCTGCGAGGGGGAGCGCCGGGAGCAGCCTGGGTGGGCGGCAGAGAGGAGCTGCCCCGGCCCTGGGGAGCCCGGCAGCCCCGGCCCCGACGGCGGGCACAGCTGGCTCCGGCTGCTGCGTCGCCCTGAGCGGAGCGAGCCGCCGGGAGCTGCCCGGCGAGGGGAACCCTGGAGAGGGTCTCTCCTGCGGGCCTCATCCCTTCGCCGGTTCGTTTGTGGGAGTTAGGAGAGAACACGGGGCCGGCGTGAGCTGCTCCGCGCCTGGGTGCGGAAATAGACGGGCCTCTATTCTGGGACCGAAATCACACTGCCCGGGTTTTGGGCCATACGTTCTCCCACCGACGGGAGATAAAGGATTGGTTATATGGCTCTAGGCGAAGATGCAGAAACGTGTTCTAACTGAGACATATAGAAATATATAATTTTTATATATATATACACATATATGCACGTATATAAAACTAATATTTCTTCGAAGAGCTAATTTATATCTCGGTTAAAATACGTTTCTACATCTTCGACTGCCTTTACCCGCGATTAGTCTGTCCCGGGTAGGGGAGAAGGGACCCGTGGCCGGGCAGAGGAACAAGAAATCCGCTCATGGGCCACCGAAGCCCTGGGCGCCCCGACGGGAGAGGCCGGTTGTCCCGGGCACGGACGTTCGGGAGCTGCCACCCCCCCCGCCCCGGGCTCACGTTTGGTTACGAAAATTGATGTCGCACTTAAAATCATCGGGACGGGGCACATCGTGAGAGGCGGTTCGCGTGCAGGGAAGGCAGGAGCGAGTCTGAGGGCCATGAGCTGCCTGCGGGCAGAGCTGCGGGCTCCGAGCTGAGCGTGCAGCTGCTGCCAGGGCCGCTTTGGGCAGCGCGAGTTGTGTTTGAGCACGGGCGGAGAGGCCGGGTCCGGCGGAGCCGCGCCGGCAGCGCCGCGGGGCCGAGCGAGGCCGCGGCCGGCGAGCGCCGGTGGTGCCGGCCCCGCGGAGCCCGGCCCGGCTCTTGCGGCTGCCGGCGGTGCCTTGTGTGCTGGAAAGGCTCGGGAACCGAACGGGGTCCGCCCCGCTCCCGGGACAGGACTGCAGAGCCCGTTAGGAACCAGTGTGAAATGCCCGCTGCTGTGCCCCGGGGCGCTGGTTTGTCACAGCGCGACATCTCTTGTGCTCGGGCCAGCTGACTCTGCCTGTCTGCTGCTCGGGGAGGCTCTGCCTGAAGGCAGGAAAGGGGAAGGAGAGGGGAATGTGGGTGCCACATACGCTACTTCAGGAACCGTGTGAAATAAGCCGAAGCCCTCCAGGGGAATGAGCAGGAAAGCTGCCCAGTGTGTCATCCCCCGTCTCGCCACCCTGCCCCGGCCCTCGAGGCGCCTGTCAGCCCCGCAGCCGCGCTGGGGCTCTGCGTGTACTCTGCGGGGAGGGAGAAGGGGCGACCCGACACCTTTTGCTTTCTGCCTCCTGCAAATAAGAGCTGCAAGAATCGACTTGCAGGGAGCGGCAACAGCCTCCTTGCGCTCCCCGGGCGCGATCGGTTGGCGGGGCCCGCGGCCAAGACATATAAACGCGACCGCGTGTGCGGCTGGAAGTGTGACAAGCCGCCGTGGCAGGGCGAGCGCCGCGGGCACACCCCCTCGCACCCACCGCCTCCAGCGCGACCCCGCGGCGGGCGGGAGGGGAGCGCAGCGCCGCGGGCCCCGGCGGGCTCCGGGGTGGGCGGCGGAGGCTCCCCCAGCGCCCCCCGGACACCGCCCCCCGCCTCCCCCCGCCCCCGGCGGCTCCGCGCCGCTCCGCGGGGCCACGTCGGGCCGCGTGTGCGCGGGGCTGAGCGCGGCGCCGTGACTGCGGGGTGAACTCGGCCGTGCCCAGCGGCTCGGCGGCGATAGGGGAGCGGGCTCCTGACGAAAGCGGAACTCGGCCGGGCCCATACAAATCAGAAAAGAGCCCGGCCGCCGCGGCAGAGGGGAGCGGAGCCCGCGGGGGCAGGGACGCCGCCGCCGCCGCCGCCTCGCTGCACGGACCAGCGGCGCCGCGAGAGGCGCCTCCCGATCTCCGGCCGGGTCCCGGCTTCGACTTCGGCTTCGGCCCCGTCGCGGCGAGCGCGGAGCGGGACGGCCGCCGGCAGCGGGCTCCGTGCAGCGGGCAGCGCTCCGCACCGCTGGGCGCCCCGGGCGGCGGGCGCGGGGCACCATGATGAGCAACTACCCGGACGGCGAGGAGGACACGGTGGCGCTGCTGGCTCATGACACCGGCGGCAGCAAGGAGCCGGATCGGGGCAAGGAGGAGCTGAGCGCGGACAAGGGCCCCGAGAAGCCGGACCCCTCGCAGAAGCCCCCCTATTCCTACGTGGCCCTGATCGCCATGGCCATTCGGGAGAGCGCGGAGAAGAGGCTTACGCTGTCTGGGATCTACCAGTACATCATCAGCAAGTTCCCTTTCTACGAGAAGAACAAGAAAGGCTGGCAGAACAGCATCCGCCACAACCTCAGCCTCAACGAGTGCTTCATCAAGGTGCCCCGGGAGGGCGGCGGCGAGCGCAAGGGCAACTACTGGACCCTGGACCCCGCCTGCGAGGACATGTTCGAGAAGGGCAACTACCGCAGAAGACGAAGGATGAAACGGCCTTTCCGGCCGCCTCCGACCCACTTCCAGCCGGGCAAGACCCTCTTCAGCCCCGACAGCTACGGCTACCTGTCCCCGCCCAAGTACTTGCAGTCCACCTTCATGAACAACTCGTGGCCGCTGGCGCAGCCCCCCGCGCCCATGCCCTACACGTCCTGCCAGATGTCTGGTGGGAACGTCAGCCCCGTCAATGTGAAAGGACTCTCGGGCCCGGCGTCCTACAGCCCCTACTCGCGGGTGCAGAGCATGGCGCTGCCCAGCATGGTGAACTCCTACAACGGCGTGGGCCACCACCACCACCACCACCCGCACGCCCACCACCCCCAGCAGCTCAGCCCGGCCAGCCCCGCGCCGCCCTCGGCCCCGGCGGCAAACGGAGCCGGCCTCCAGTTTGCCTGCGCCCGCCAGCCCGCCGAGCTGTCCATGATGCACTGTTCTTACTGGGAGCACGACAGCAAACACAGCGCCCTGCACTCCCGCATAGACATCTAGGGAGGCTCCGGCCAGCGCCGTCACCGCAATGCACCGGCCCCGCTGCCCCTCTGCTACCCCGCCGCGTTCCCCCGCGCTCCGCGTCTCTCCTCCTGGTCTCTAGTCATGGACTTCCCTCTCTCTGTGCCCAAACTCTCGCGGTGGGGAAATAGCGGCTTTGCCCCGCGCGTAGTGTCAGTGTAGGAGCATCCCTCCATGCGAAGAAAGCCGTGTAAGTGTGGGGGTTCCCCGCGGGGCTGCGCCGGGCAGCGGCGGCCGCGCCGCCTCTCCGGGCGAGCGGGGATTCACCGGGAGTTTCTCTGCTCCGTGTTGTGTTTGTGAGTTGTTGGGTTCGGTGGGTTTTTTTTTTTCTTTTGGTTTGGGTTTGTTTGCTTTGGTTTTGTTTTGTTTTGTTTTGTCGGGGTTTGTTGTTTTTTGGGGTTTTTTCTGGGAGGTGGGGGGAACGGGGGGAGCATCTAATTAAAAATTGGTTGTTCAGCCCTCAAAATTATGCTCCTTTGTAATTCGGCCGTAAATCTTTTCGGGCTCAGCCACGGGGAGAGTAGAACGGAGTTTGTAAATAGCGGAGGCATTTTCACGCGTGCGGTGCGGGGCTGGCGGGGCCTAGACACTATGGTGTGCCCGCGGTGCTCGTCCTCTTCTTCATCCCCTCTGTCTTCTTCCTCGCTCTGCAAAGCACTGCGCTTCTTCCGAGCTGTGGCTTTTCGTTAAAATAGTACTTAACGTGGGGACTGCTGTGACAGCAGATGTGCGATATTGCTGGTGAATAGAAACCAACAAACAAAACGCGCCAGGGTCACTCGTGAAACGTTTCGGCAGCGGCAAATATATTTTTTAAAGGAGACAATGTCCTCTGAGGTCTTAAAAGTAATTTTATACAGGTCTAAAAAAATATTTTGATGTTATTAAAAAAAAAAAAAAGAGAGACGCTTTCCTGTAAATTGGGATATTTTTTCCGTGTGCCTATTATTATTAATAATGAAAGTTTAAACTGTCTTCAGTTTTTTTGCCCCCAAACCTGGCCCAAAATGGATTTCCCGGTAGGTTCTGCTTTTGAATGCTTACTGTTTTTCTTAAAAGGTTTTGATCCTTCAATTTTACATAGATTAATGTGGACAAAAAATAGCGATTTTAAAGCAGGGGCCAGTTCATAGCGATTTTGTAAATGTTTGTGTAAACCGATAGATGCTGTGGCATAGTACCATTTTGGGACCAACTTTTCTAGAATGAACTAGCACTTTCATTGTACTTTCTAGCATTGTAAAGTCTCCAATAAAATGCCTTTCCTTCTTTCCATATCGTTTTATTTCACTCGCTCCTCCGCGCTCGGGATCGGGAAGCGGCAGCGGGGAGCGGGGCGGGCGCTGCGTGCCGGGGCCGCTCCGGGCGGCGGGCACCGCTCGGCGCACGGGGCTCGGCTGCGGGACCCGTGCTGGGCGCTCCATCATCTCCGCCAGGCCCCGGGGCTGTCTCGGCGGCGGCCGACAAGGTGCGGGCAGCGTTGCGTTGGTTCCGCGGCGTGCGGCGCCTCCGCTCCGGGCCGCGGGCAGCCGCCGGCACCTCGCCCGTGTGCCCGGTCCGGGGCGGCGGAGGCCTCGGGCTTGTGCCCGGGGCTGTGCCGGACCCTGCTTCGCTTTCATTTCTTCCTCGCGTGCTCGGGGCCGTGGTCCTGGAAAGAAAAGAACGGTCCCGTGCCGCCCCAAGCCCGGCCCGTCCGCGCTGCGACGGGGCCCGAGCCCCATGCGGCAGCCGCAGGCGGGTCTCCCTTTCCTCGCCGGGCCCGTGGCTGTGGCGGCGGCCTGGGCCTCGCTTCTAACCCTGCCCGTCCCCGCAGGCAGGGCCCTTGCCGGGCCCGGGGCTCAGCACAGGATGGGGCCGGCGGGGAGGCCCCGCTCGGTGCGGGCCCGGCTGGCAGCGGGTCCCGCTCGGCCCCGGCCTGGCCAGGCCCGCGGTGCCGCGGCAGCAGCGGGGATGCGCTGTTCGCCTCACGGCCCGCGCTGTTCGCCTCACGGGCCGCGCTGTTCGCCTCACGGCCCGCGCTGTTCGCCTCACGGCCCGCGCGGGCAGCTCGCTGCCCCGGCCAGCGCTGCCGGGGTGAACCCGGTAACGGGGCCGAGCGCTCCGCTCCGCAGCCACGGGCCTGGTACTCGCCCTTGCCCGGCTGCCCGACGCTTTCCCTTGCTGCAGGGCCTGCAGCCATCTCGCAGAAGGCAGTGCGAGACGCGGGGACTGACGGCTTCTCTGCCGCTCGGCGGGCACGGCCAGGGCAGAGGGGCTCTGAGGCACCCGCCCGGCCATCCCGGAGCCCTGCGGTGCCCCCTGGCCCCGCTCCCCAGGCGGGGAGGGCGCTGCGAGCGATGATGCGGTCCGAGGGGCTCTGCTCCGGGCGGACAGAGAGGCACAAGGGCTGCGGAAAGCGGGGTCACGGCGAGAGGGCCGTGTGGTACCGGGCGGCAGGGACAGAGCCCGGCCTCCGCACGAACACCGCTGGAACGCGAGGCCCAAGGCCCAAGCGGGGATGCCGGCGCACACGGGACGCGGCCGGGACTCACGCCTTTGCCAGCGCACCGGGGATCGCGGCTTTGCCCCGGAGGGCTCAGGGCCTTGCCTGCTTGTTCCTTTCTAGATAGATACTCCCAGTGCCGCTACTTTCCTCAGGGGTATGTTGAGGCCAAAAGGGAAACCCTCGCCACCGGAGGTGAGCACGGGGCGAAGGGAGGGTGGGAGCGCCTCCCCGGACCCCCGCACAGGCCCACCGGCGCTCCCTGGGCTCCGTCCTGGGCTGTGCCGTCGTTCGGCCTGAGGCAAAGGCTGAAGCACCGCTTGCACACCCCCGGGAACGGCTGGGGCTCGCCAGCTTTGAGTGAAGCGACACCTGACCGTGCCAGGTGCAGGGAGAGGAAGCGGCAGGCCGGGACCGAGCAGGGACGTGCGGCCCCTGGGGCTATTCCAGTTCCTGGAATAGGTGGTGTCCACCCAGGTCGTGCTGGGCTTGACCAGCGGCCGATTGAGCCCATAGAGAGAGGCAGGGAGCCGCGCGTTTGGGAGAGAAGCGGCCTGGCAGGGCCGTGCGGCCGCTCTCTTGCCAGGCCATGGGCTTGTCCGTCTGCCGGGCTCCCTGTGCACAGCCGGGGCTCTGCTCTCCTTCGGCCCGGGCTCCCTGTGCCCGGCCGGGGCTCTGCTCTCCTTCGGCCCGGGCTCCCTGTGCCCGGCCGGGGCTCTGCTCTCGTTCTCCCCGCGCCGCTCCCGGGCGGCAGTGGCCGTCGCGCCTGTAGGATGTTTTTACGATGGTTTTCTGTATTTTACAGGGACTGCACTGAATGTAAACTCGCAGGGAAACCGCGGGGAGAGCCCGGCCGCCGTGGCTGGCTGCGCTCGCCGGGCGCTGTCGGGCGGCGTCCCGAGGCAGGGCTGGTCCTGCCGGCAGCAGCCCGGCCTCTGCCGCTGCCGGGGACTGCCGGGCCTCCCGTGCGGTGCCGCCGGGCTGGGGAGGGGGTGCCCATCATCTCCCCGCGTGCTGGTGCTTGCCTCGGCAGCGGGCACGGCCCCTGGGGGGGCACGCAGGGACCGAGTGTCCCGGAGGAGCTGTGCCTCCCCGCGGGCCCGCTCCGCAGCCCGGGTGATGTGCAGGGACCGAGTGTCCCGGAGGAGCTGTGCCTCCCCGCGGGCCCGCTCCGCAGCCCGGGTGATGTGCAGGGACCGAGTGTCCCGGAGGAGCTGTGCCTCCCCGCGGGCCCGCTCCGCAGCCCGGGTGATGTGCAGGACCGGGCCGTGCCCCGGACAGAGGCGCTTGGGACGGCAGGGGCTGAGCGGGAGCAGGAGCGGTGCAGACCCCTCCGCAGCCAGCTCCGTGGGCACCAACACCGGCACAGGACCGAGGGGTGCCCGCGGTGGCTCAGCGCTCCCTCGCCCCGGGCCGTCACCTCCTCCCGCAGCTCCCACCTGCCCCAGCCCCGCGGGTCCCTCACAAAATCGAGCGGCCGAGCGCCGCACTCTTGGCCAGCGCGGTCTTTGCGCGTTGTGTAAGGTCTTTCCCCGTTATATAAATGATAGCAGGAGGAATGCGCACGGAGCGGGACGCGCTCCCCGGGACAGCATCTTGGCTCGGAGCCTCCTCCGGGCCCGGGGCTGCTGCGGGGGCCAGAGCCAGGGAAGGGGGGCTCAGGGCTGCTGAGCCGCCGCTGCCCTTTCGGAGCGGCCCCGGCTTTATGCAACGCTGGCGAGAGATGAAAGCAGAAGAGCGAGGGGTGTTTTCTCCCTGCCCGGAGCGGACGTGGAAGCAGCCTGCCTCTGTCGGGGAAGGACAGAGTTTGATCCCCGAGGCTGAGCGGACACCCAGCGCCCTTCTGCTGCTGCAGCCCCCGGGGCAGTGCCAGCGCCGGGGGATGTTTTGCCACCGCAGCTTTCTCGTCCTCTCCGGTCCTTTGCGCAGGCCGCAAAGGTCCTTTTGAAGCCCTGGCCGGGCTCGGAGGGTGGCAGAGCTCTGGGAGCCGGGAGCGCTCCCCGGCGGCACGGCACGGCACGGCACGGCACGGCACGGCAGGCACGGCACGGCACGGCACGGCACGGCACGGCACGGCACGGCACGGCAGGCACGGCACGGCAGGCACGGCACGGCACGGCACGGCACGGCTGCCCTCTGCCTGCGGGCCGGAGGGAGAGCGGGGACAGCGGCCCGGCAGAGGGATGCTGAACGAGGGACCCGTGGGCTCTGTCCCGGCTCCTCCTGTCGTACCGGACCGCGACCGAGCAGGGGGTGGTGGCTGCGGGCAGGGCAGGGCAGAGCAGGCTCCGTGAGGAGACACACACACAGCTCTTACCTTGCGCCCTCCCTCCCGCCCCGGCCGGAGCGGCTGTTTAGTACCGCCTGATTCCTGGTATTCTTGTCAGTGTTTTAAGTGGTGAAAAAGTCATTTCCAGTCCCATGGTCTGCGTTTCACCCTGAACTCATTGAAAAGAGAGTGCGGGGTCAGGACTGTTTATTATACAACCAATTAAAACAGGAAAATATGCACAGGCTTCATTCAGCGAGATCCGGCTATTGTTAAGCCGAAAACGATATTTTTGCTTCAAAAATAAA